CGTTCATTGTTAACGACACCCCCAAAACGACACCCCTGGGGTGTCGTTAACAATAAGCATTTGTTGACGACACCACTAACAAATAGTGTGGTTACCCTGCTGTATGTTCGTACCTATACCATAATAATTAATAAAATAAAAAGAACCTGTAAAGATATTTTTATTTAATTTGATCGAAGCTCAATAATCCTTATTATTTCAAACATTATCTGTCTTCTTTTTACGACAGGTACGTTGTTAAGTTCTTGACCAATAAATTCTCCGAAATTACGATTTGCTTCTTTCAGGCTTGCTTCATTAGCCATTTCAGGAGTTTGTGTACTGACATTGTGGTCCTTTCCCCAATTATAATTGTCAGATTGAATGCCAACTTCTTTTTTGTTCTGAACCCTTTGTGAAATAAATAAATAAATAAATTCTTAAGCGATAAGTTATCCCAACATTACGGTGGTGTCGTCAACAAATGCTTATTGTTAACGACACCCCAGGGGTGTCGTTTTGGGGGTGTCGTTAACAATGAATGATCTATAGCATACCTACCTTAGTAGTAACTGTTCCATGGCATTTCAACTTTTTGTGAGAGGAACATCTCCAATATACTGATCCATCTGCATAATTTTTATGTTTATGATATTTATACTTGCCTAAAAGTAAGGCCACTCCGCCATTGGTATTTATTAATCTGAATTCGGACATTGTTAACTTTTTCTTCGAAAGTTATTGAAAATATTAGAAATGTCAATATATTGATTAACTTCACAAATGACACATAATTTATCTCATGAACGTCATAAACGTTATCAGCCAGTGCATTAGAGAAAGAGATAAAAAGATACAATTGCATATGTTTATTAACCATTGAGAGTATACTAGCTCGATAATAAATTCTTAAGCGATAAGTTATCCCAACATTACGGTGGTGTCGTCAACAAATGCTTATTGTTAACGACACCCCAGGGGTGTCGTTTTGGGGGTGTCGTTAACAATGAATGGCGGCGGGGAGTTATGCTCTGCGGCCGGACCACAAAAGTAGTTAATATAAATATTTCGTATACTATTGAGGTACTATTTATTTTGTTTTGTTTTTTTTGTTCTATGTCTTAGGAATGTACACTTTAGGTACTAATTATTTTGTACTACTGCATCCGAGTACTTATAGGTGGTCCGGCCACAGAGGATCACGCCGGCCCGTTTCGGGCACGTTCTGGATATGTGTGGATGGACCTTATCCTATCACTCACCAGTGCCTGCTGCCGACAGCAATGGCACGTTCGCGGCCCGCTATTCATGAAATTAGATTCGGCAACTAGGTTTCCACCTAATCCTACTCTAGTCTATTACTCATCCATTACCCTGAAGAAAACCAGCTTGACCGCTTTACGCTTATTTATTACTTTATTTCCACATCAACTGTACTATGGGTAACACTGAGAAACACGACATCTACGCGTCCACCGCTCTCCGTAGAGGCCATGACTCGGGACTGCTCCGGAGCGACCATGCTGGGCTAGCTGCTCTAACAAATCTTAGTACAGCACGTGTATATGGTTATGCAAGGACAGCAACAACCACCGCATCCGCCGCAGCATCCACCACAGCATCCACCACAGCCTCCACACCTGAAACAATTAGCATTAGCATTAGCATTTTGGCTTAGCTAGCCTACACAGCTATGTTATACTTACATTTTATATGCGTTTGAAAGAGTACAAAATCCAAAAAGAAATTAGTGGAAATAAAAATTCACTTTTTAAAATAGTATTTTAAGTACGTATTTGGTTTTTTTATAATCTTTTTAAAGTATATCACGCAAAGGATTTTATTGTACTGACCATTATACGAAAAGTACTTCTACATATCGACTTCGCCAGGTTTGAATTTGGAACGCTGAACTTATTTTTATTCCTTTATATATAGAATCAAAGGTACCAGTATTGTGTAAAAGTGCTTACAATTTCAAAAATACCATTAAGTATGCACAACTAAACACAAACAATAAAATTATAAACATACTTTATTTATACATATTTGTCCATGCCGACAGAAAAGAAGTTTCTTCGCGAGTCCGCACTCCCATTCGTGCCGAAAGAATCACCTACGTTTCATTATTTCTGAAGTGTTGTAAAAGCGAAACATATCATATATAAATATAACTGCCTCAGTGGTCGAACGGTTACCATGCCGGACTGCCACGCAGAGGTCCCAGGTTCGATTCCCGGGCCGTGAGAAATATTTGTATGGCCTACATTTATTTCTCTCGTGAATTGGGTGTAATTTGTGGTTGTCTATGTGTGTGTTCATGGCACCCGCGACACAGGGTTTCCCTGCGGGGCTTTGTTGAGTATGTGCGTTATTATTATTATATGTATATTATTATATCATCAGTACATTTTGATGGAACTTGAGGAGGTTTTTATTATCAGTAAAGAAAGTGAAATAAGTTAGGATTAATGTGGAAAAAATATACTGAATTCACTATTACATCTTAATTTTTAGTAAGTAAATATATACTTGGTACTTGGTGTAACGGGCTATATTTAAATTTGAAAAATATCCCCTGAATTTAAGGTAAAATAACCCTATGATGGCACGGAATGCGGGCGCATTGTCAGCATTATCCGTGCCGAATCTGGTGACAGCTTCCGAATTCGTTTGGGATCTACCTACCTTCCGAATTGTTCCTGCGATTCGTCCGATTCGGCGCGGATAAGTATGCAAGGTTTCATATGTTTTCATACAACGAATTCTGAAATACGATTCTTTCAACTCTTTCGGCGTGTTCAATCCGGCCAAGTGCGCGATCATCTCAATAGACTGGCATAACGAACAAAATATTAAAAACCACTTGGCCGTGGACTACAATTCAATATAATATTTTAGTGTATTTTTATCGCAAAATTTTATTCATGATGTTTTTGCATATTTTGTTGTTAATTCTTATTTAATTTTATTATTGAAACAGACATGTAATCTATTCCTACGTAACACAAATTATAAAGGTGATGTATTCGTAAATTATACTGCTGAAATCTTATACAAAACTGGTTTCATAAAAACTCTTAAATCATTATAATTATAATTTTACAGGTACCAAACCAGCCACTTTCAAGAGTCGCTACTTAACGACATACAAGCAAATTTAAAAAATCAACTCGGTATGAACAAAGACCTTGGTTCGTAAAAATGTCAAATTTCAAATACCCAGAGGGCCATCCTGCCTACGAATTAGAAAGGAAACTCCGTTTTTACACGACCGTATCACAAGACAGACCTCAGACGATGTTTTTGGTTGTAGTAGATCCTGTAAATTCTGGAATGTCGGTTTTCCACCACACCCACGATTGGCCATGTTCGGAATCAAAATCTGGTAATCCTGGTTATACGAAGATCGAACCAATAGAAGGCCTTCCTCCAAAATCCATATTGAACCGTGGATGTTATATACGACGTTAATGGGTATCTTTTTGATTATATGTCCCTATTCTGTCATTAATAGTTAATATTCGTAACAAATCGATTAAAATTTAAATTTTATAAACAAACGTCTCAATGTCCAAGTTTGATTTTAATTACAAAGTGTTTAGCTCTGTAACGTGTTGTTACAAAAAGTGTAACGAAAATATTTCAAGTTCTGCCTGCTCCTGTTCAGACTCCTGCTTAAACAAATAAGATAAACAAATAAACAAATAAATGTCAATTTATGTAATTATAAAACAGCTGTAGTCAAGTTCATAATTTTAAGTTTTTGTTTTACTCTACACTACTGGCATTAACTAGAGCCGCTAGAGGCCGTGAGTTGTTCCTTTCGGAATTTCAATTAAAATAGCCATAACATTCATTAATCATTATCAAACACTGAAAATAAATACTGCGTATAGTTGTGTGTTGCAATTAAAGTCTGCCTTTGTTAAAAATGACAGGTACGGGGTTGCCAGTATTGGTAAAATTTTAAATAGTCATGCAGTTGTTATCGACAATTTTATCAATAGGTTGTGGAAGTAGGTGAAATTTTGCCAAAAATGTCTGACTAATTGCGATATTGTATTCTTTATTCTTATTTTGGCTGTTGTTACATCAGTATCGAGATCAATTTCCAGTCATACAAATTTTAATAACGACAAAAGGATTTGATTATGTATATTAAATTCAAGTGAAAAACTTTAAAAATGCCTCCTATTTGTATTTTTTATACACATACTACAATTTTTTTTAATAAGAGAGGCGATATTTCCCGGCAATGACAGTGATAGGCTGAGGTCAGGGACTCAGTTTCAAGAAACGGTGAATCTATAGCTACAAAATAGTCTTACTTGCTGCACAATTTACCAATTTGCCACACAATTTTCTGTCGGAACGTAAAATGTCTAATGCATATTAAGCGTGATTTTCAATGAGTTTTCTGTACCTAATTGTGGCGGCAATTTTTGTTATTTAAGTATTCGAGTATATATATATATTTATACTCGAACATATATAATTATATAACAAAGCTACAAGTTCTTACTCACTGATAGAAATAGAACGCATACTTCCGGATATGGAGGAAAAAAGATATTTATACCGTTGTACGCGGATAGATTCCAAAGCATAGAATCAAATATGAGAAGATCTAAATGTGGAAAATATGAAAGAGTGATCAACGGCCTGCAAAAACTATAATATATGGAGGGAATATTTGTGCACTTTTATGAGATACACTCCGGTCAATTTCCGCCGGAAGTAAAAAATGATCGAAATTCAAATAAATAAGATGACCGCCATATAAATTTCAAAGTCTCCTATCACGGAAACTATTATATAGTATAGGTAGGATAGGTAGGAGGTGCTCGAAGGAATGTCATAGAGATTAATAGTGGTCAATTGCCTGGATTAAAAAAAAACAAGATGGCGAATTCAAAATGGCGGCCGGGCAAATGGAGATAATATACGGAGATAGATTACGAGTACAAGATCTCACAATTGTAAAAATGTGAAGCATGCTTCCCGATGTAGTGGAAATGAGATACTTATTATAGCGTTGTTGTATCTCAATCGTCTCTATGTTAGTCATTTTCTTGAAAGCTATGCCAAAGAGAAGTATTTGGGGGAAACAATGCCAAACTATTGCCGAATTTCCTGTACTATGTAGGTACTATGAATACCAAATAACCCAGAATACTCAGACCAAAACCAACTTAGAAATGTTCGTTTCTTAAATTGGCACAAATTGGAAATCGACCTCCTCATCAAGCGCCCATAGTACTAACTGCTGTGCCACCGAAGAGCATGAGCACACCCTGTAAACTGAAACTAACCACGCGCCGCAGGCCGGCCCGACCCCACCGTAGGTGGGGTTCATGGTTCAGAGCTCGTATATATATATATCAAAAATACTTTTAAGAAAAATTCTATATTTTTTAATATTATTTTTCCGTATGACTTTTTTTCATGACCCAACACTAATTTCAAACCATTAACGTGCTGGCAAAAGGGGTTCAATCTACAAAAGGAGTGAAAAAAACACTTGCTAAAGTGCACGTTTATGTGAGATTATCTTTGTGTACAATTAATTTAACGACTTATCGGCTATTTGTGCAAAGTACTATAGCGAGTACCGTTCCTCGCGTACTCTACATACTACAACGACACCAAATGGGATAATAACGGACATCAGTATATTACATAACTGAAAATTCTTATTTTGTTTTTTTATTTTGTTTCAGAAAAATTTGAATGAATCAAAGTACATAGCCTAAAAAAGGATGCAATCGTGGGTGTTTTGTAAAAGGAATCTTGACCATGGCCGTCTTGAAATGTACAAAAATTCTACACCCATATTACCATTGTGCCAAATTATGTGGAATAGAAAACATCAAAAAATTTAAAGTGGTATTTTTATACAACAACAAAATCCAAATTCTCAGTTTCCTCGCTGATCTTAGATTCTAGTAAGTACCAAAGTTTTAATAAGACTGTTAACGATAATACTAATTAATTTTTACAGAGTAAAGTTTCCTGGTCACCGTATCGTGTTGTACTGCCGTATCTAAGTCTTCTATAGGTATATTTATGAAACTACTGTTAACATTATAGTTACGTATTACTACTAACCCGGTATTTTGAGAGCTGTGTATAATGATCTAATTTATTTTATAGAAAACGCGGTCGTCATGGGCAGATGCTGTAACACTATTCCGTTACAATGCGCTAGAAGCCGTGAATTACGGGGTAGTATTCTATACACAGACTGCCAATGTCTACGCAGAAATGGACTGCAGTTAGATTGCCGTAGAACCGGATGTCAGAACGCCCCCCCATGTGAGGCTATACCGGCACCGCTCTGCGAGCCAGCACGCATCGCCGGCATAAAACATTGTTGCAACCCACACGCTGAACCTCTCTGTGTAGTAGCTCAAATGCGACACTGAAATCACCAACGCTGTAATAATAGAAAAAGTTCTGTTACCGAAAGTCACGCACGCTCTAATTATTGTGGTGATCTTAACGAGAATCAGCCTCATGGAATAGTGTACCACCATTTTAGCAAGTCCATTGGTTAACTCACTTTTTAACAAATGTGTTTTCAAGAAGTGTATTATTCATTTATAACGAACTGGTACTAAATTCTAAATTTTGAAAACAGAAAGGAAAAATTTTCCGGCATGTCAAGAACAAATGAATTGACAGAAGATTTTCACAACTCGTCTCGTGCAGATGTAATTTTATAAAAAAATTGAATATTTTGAAAATTCTAAATTGACTAGTACATTTTACACCGAATGATTTTTGAATTATTTATGTAAGGTTTTTATATTAAAAATAATTAAAGAAATTAAAAACCCCCTCCTCGAATCTTTAATATCTTCGGTGCCGTACAGCATAAAACTATCAAAATGTAAGTATCGTAGTGTTTTTGTGAAAGAGGCGGAAAGATACGCAATTGTGTACTTATAAATATGATGTTTCAGGTGTTCCCCATGTGGGCCCATGGTATGTTACAAATATGAAGACTGCGGTCCACCGGTAAGTTAGTTTGAAAGTGTAGTTTGAATATGCCTAATAACATGCAGTAACCAAATTGAATGATCGCGTCTGGTGTGCAGCTGCAGTGTCTTCCACGGTCAGCGTTCAAGCGCAATGGGCTGCAGGACTGCCATTTCTTCCAGCAGGGTTCGATTCGGTATCTATGCCGGTCGGGCCCTTGCTGCTCCGGCCCGTGCCCGCCGCGCTGTCCGCCGTGCGTGCGCCGCCCACCTCCCGGCAAGACCTACGTTACTCGCTTCAGTGACTTCGACTTGCTATCACAGTGGTAAACGAGCGCTGTACTAGACAGGAACTTCGTGTCGCTCACTAACGGCTTCGGGTCTCGGTAATTCGCTTTCCAATCCAAATTACACGGCGGACAGCGTAAACATTAGCAAGTATACATTATTTAACATGTTGATTTCTCCACAGAAAGGCAAAGCCTCTGAAGGAGTCACACGAGCGGAGGAGGGTGGCACACAAAAAAAGGAAGAAAGAGAAAATCAGCTACGAAGAATCAAAAGCCGTGAGCTAAGAGGCGGGATTATGTATTATAGTTGTCATTGCATCAAGCGTAATGGGCTTCAGCACGACTGTCGTCGTACTGGCTGCCAAGGCGAGCCTGCTTGTCTGACATTACCTGATCCCGTTTGCTTGCCAAGTCAGCTGGCGCGTGCGCGAGGTTTGGCCGACCCCGCGCCTCTGGCTGCACATATGCATGGACGTGGGGGTGGCAGCCCAGCCGGTATTTCGGGTGGCGCCGCCGGAGGGGGGAAAAAGTTCATTGTCTGCGAATTGAAAGGTGTTGCCCCGGACGTTGCAACTAACAATAGTGGAAAATGCTGTAAGTGTCCTGGTGTAGCTTCTAAATCTTCTCCTCAAGCAAGCGGCGGCGGCGGTAAAATCTGCGATTACTCGCCTGCAGCGCCAAAACCTTCACCGAAAGGAAATGACCAAAAGTGCCCTTGTGCTGTCTTTACTGGCCACATGAATAAAGCTCCAGCTCCATCCCCAACACCTGCAAAAGATCAAAAATGCGTTTGTTCTGTAAACTTAAATAGTAATGCAACGTACGTTTTCGATAAAAAAATAACGCAGTCTATTCTTGATCAATTCGAAACCAAACAACAAACAGCGCAAGGTGGTTCTGGTCAAAACACAAGATCAGGAAATAGATTAGGTCAGAAAGAGGAATGCACAAGGCCGGGTTGTGTACACTGGAAACCGCCGCCTCCGTGTGTATGGGATCTTCCTTGTAAAGCAGACTGTTTCGAGACTCCAGCAGGTATACAGCCTGGTCGTAACCCGTGGGGTAACAGTAAAACCATGAAGTGCGTGTTTGAGTCATCTGAAGTCGCAATGCAAGGGAAGGCGGCGGCACAGCGCACGCAGCCTCTACCGACGACGCGCGCAGTTTTTAAAATGCTGACACCGGAATGTTGCACAGGTTGTTGCGCCCCGGCGAGTGATGCGGGTGCCGGTGCGGCTGCAGCGAGCGGTGGGCCAGGAGTAGGAATGCCGGTCCTAGTGATGAAGCTATGCTGATTGCAGGACTCATTGGTTTTCAACAAGCTTTAAGAAAAAGTGCAAAACTCGATTATGTAACTGAAATAAATGTTACCTTTTAACTTGTATTTTTATTCATTTTGTACATAACATCACTGATCACATGGACATAGTTATGCAAATAAGAATCAACCCACACCGAGTGAAATTGAGTTATGTATTTAGGTAGAACACCAGACGTGTCCTTGACCCGCTCACAAAAGATCTGGCAGTATATCGCGAGCCAAAACGGAGAAAATAAGTCCTTCAGGGTACTAAAAGTAACTTTTTATTAGCTAAAAAGAACCATGCTGCTTAACTTATAGTGTATTGTATGTATAGTGTATCCATGTCACATGTACTGAAGTACTGTAGATCTAGCGTTTTCATTACGAAATCTAGAACATGGTTCTCGTTATCTAGATACATAATGTTTTCTATTTATTGCCATATAATATTAGTTTCCCTATATAATTCTCAATGCCACACATAACTTACGTTGTTTGTCTCAAATAACTTACCTATTAATATTTCTTCACACTGTTTTTACCATACTAAATCTATGGTTTTTACAAAAATCTAATTATCTCGAGTGACATTTTGTGGGTTGATTCTAGTTTGCATAATTTATGTGGGATTAGGAATATCTGAACGTGGCAATGTAATAATGAATGAAGACTTGAGTGTATCCGAATGAGTGAGTGAGAGGGAGTGTGTGTGAGAGGGAGGTGTGGTTGAACGACGATTGAGCGAAGCGGACGTGGCTCTGTGAAATAAGTGATTTAAAAAAGAATTAAACGGTTATTACATCAAAAGCTCTGGTTTTTAATAATCCCACAAATTTGGGGGCTCGTCCGGGATAAAAATCAGGTGCTAATTGGTGTAAGTGAGGTCGTAAGTGCGTACGAGAGAAAAGGGCGGGAACGGCAGTTGAGGCGACTGAGCTGCAGACTTTTTTGTTTCTAAGACGAGAAACGACGACGACGGTTACGACGAGCAGCATCCAGTGCGCATCATGCCAAAAGACACCGAAACTATGTTGCACATGACGGCCGAACTAATTCCTCCATTCACCGGGCAAGACAAGACGTATTCCGTTGCAAGATGGATACAGGACGTTGAAGATAACGCTGAGATCTTTGGTTGGTCGACGTTACAGCAATTACTTATCGCGAGGCGATCATTAACGGGCACGGCAGCCCTATGGCTGAGAGCAGAAAAACCTTTTAAGTCGTGGGAAGATTTGAAAAACGCGATTGCTAAAGAATTCCCTGATACGGTGGACGTGAAAACCATTCATGAAATGATGAGTGCCAGGAAGAAAAAGCATGATGAACCATGTCTCGACTACATGTTGGTGATGAAAGAGCTGGGTAAACGCGGTAAGATGCCCGATTATGTCGCAATTAAATACATAATTGACGGTATAATTGACGCGGAGATCAACAAAATGGTGCTGTACGGGGTAACGTCCTATGGGGACTTAAAAGAGAGATTGCGGACCTACGAAACCATCAAGGAGAAGACGAAGAGCCATAATCAAGACCAACGACGATCCAGGCCACAAATTCATACACAGGTGCATTTCAATCAACCGCGGAGAAAATGCTACAATTGTGGTGATACAGCACATTTATCGGCAGAATGTCCGAACAAGCGGCATGGAACGAAGTGTTTCCGGTGCAATTCATTCGGTCATTTGGCAAGAGAGTGCAACGGCGATAACGGACTCGATGGCGCACGCGGCGGCAGAGGTGCGAGCGGGACAGCGAATACGGCCACGGCGGGAACCAGCGGAATGAAATGGCGACGTGATGTTGGTAACACTGGAGCGAAAGCGATGTGTGTCAAATTCCATTCCGAGAACGGCGAAACGGAACGCGCAAATTCGTGTTTGCGCAATAATAGCACTGCGAATGAAGTTATTCAGTGCGAGAACGAGACTCGGATTGACACTTTGACGTCTTTGACAGTAAACAAAGCGGCATATGGTCGGCGGCCCACGAAGAACATTAATATAAACAAAAAGACGTTTCAAGCGTTGATTGATTCAGGATCGGACGTGAACCTGATTCGCGTCGACAGTTTTTGCAACAATTTGCATGGTCTTAGTGTTGAAAAGTGCGATACAGTGTTCAGTGGACTCGGCGCGGCGCGAGTACAAGCTTTGGGACGTTTTCGTACTATGGTGTGTGTGGACGATAATAGTTTTAAGAATATTCTCTTTTATATTGTGCCCAATAACGCAATGTCGTACTCAATTATCCTTGGCCAACCATTTTTAGAGAATGTTGTAATGATACTCGACAACAATAATGCTTTGTTTTTGCCTTCGAATGAGGAATGGATGCGAAATCTAGCATGTGTTGTGTCTCTTGACGTTGTAGGTGGCGAGGTAAGCAGCGACGCACAGCAACAAGCCAGGTATATGATGGAATCGTATACGCCTGTAAAGACGAAGGAGGCGCCAATTGAGTTACGAATTATTCTCAAGGATGACGTTCCAGTCGCTCAACGACCACGGAGGTTAGCTTTAAAAGAACAAGACGAAGTAAATAAACAAATATCTGAATGGTTTGATGATGGAATTATTCGGGTAAGTCACTCTGAATATTCAAGTCCTTTAGTGTTGGTGAAAAAGAAAGATGGCAGTGTTAGAATTTGTGTAGACTACCGGCTCATCAACGCAAAGATGGTAAAAGATGAATACCCATTGCCTATCATTGATGACTTGATTGACAGGTGCAAATCAGGCAAAATATTCAGTGCGCTTGATTTAAAAAATGGCTATTTTCATATGAGAGTGCACGAGGACTCTGTGAAGTATACTGCCTTTGTAACGCCGACAGGACAGTATGAATTTTTAAGGGCACCGTTCGGTTTGACTATTTGTCCTAAGGTTTTCACGCGTTTTATAAATATAATTTTCAGAGACCTTGTAGATAGAGGTATTGTGCTAATATTTATCGATGATTTGCTAATTCCAGCTGAAAATGAGCACGAAGCGATTGAACGATTGTCTATGGTGCTGCAAAGAGCTTCTGAGTATGGACTAGAAATAAACTGGAAGAAATGTCAGCTGTTGGTGAAAAAAGTGGAATATTTGGGTCACGAAATTGAAAATGGTGAAGTGAAACCATCACCAGAGAAGACAAATGCTGTTGCTAGGTTTCCAGAACCACAGAATGTTAAACAGCTTCAAAGTTTTGTTGGATTGTGCTCATATTTCCGCAAGTTCATACAGAATTTTGCCATGGTAGCCCAACCATTGACAGATTTACTCAAAAAGAATGTATCATTTAAATTTAACGAGGAACAGAGAAGAAGTTTTGCTTATTTAAAGGAGGTGTTGGTAACAAAACCCGTACTGAAGATCTATAATCCGAGATTGCATACAGAACTGCACACAGATGCATCATGTACTGCTTATGCTGCCATTTTAATGCAGAAAAGTGTAGAAGATAATGAATTACATCCAGTGCATTATATGAGCCGAAAAACGACAGATGCACAGAGTAAATATACAAGCTATGAGCTAGAGGCTTTGGCCATCATAGAAGGCATAAAGAAATTCAGGCATTATTTATTCGGAATTAAGTTTAAGATTGTAACAGATTGTAAGGCGTTTCAAATGACCATCAACAAGAAAGATTTAGCGATGTCAACTAGAGTGGCAAGGTGGATTATTTTCTTACAGGATTACGAATTCACTATTGAACACAGAGAAGGTAGTAAAATGAAGCACACCGATGCGCTTAGCAGAAATCCTTTTGTGGGTGCTATGTTTTCAAACCTGCATGACGATCTCAGGTATGCACAAGAGAACGACGAGAAGTTGAAAGCAATAAGAGAAATTCTGAAGTTACAGCCCTACCAGGATTATTTGTTGGATTCTGATTTGCTATATAAAGGTGAAGAAAAGAAGTTGGTAGTACCCAGAAGTATGGAAAATGGTATTTTGAAAGAAGTACACAGTAATGGACATTTTTCTAAAAAGAAGATGCTAGAGTTAATTGGTAAAGATTATTACATTGAGAACCTAAATAAGAAGATTGAGGATTTCATAGTGACTTGTATACCTTGTTTACTAGCTACACGTAAAGAAGGAAAGCAAGAAGGTTTCCTCAACCCCATTGAAAAGCAGGGAATACCACTTCATACTATACATGTTGATCATATTGGACCAATGACGGAGACGAAAAAATTGTACAACTACATACTGACAGTTGTCGATGCATTTACTAAGTTCACATGGATTTTTCCTACAAAAAGTACTACAAGCAAAGAAGTATTAGAGAAATTGAAAATCCACCAGCAACATTTTGGCAACCCTTGTCGAATTATTACAGACAAAGGAGCTGCATTTACTAGCGGGGAATTCAAGGAGTTTTGCCAGGAGGAAGGAATCCAGCATGTAACAATTACAACCGGTGTTCCAAGAGGAAATGGACAGGTCGAACGAGTGCACAGAACCATTATATCAGTGTTGACAAAGTTGTGCATTGAAAACCCTACGTTGTGGTATAGACATGTAAGTCGTTTACAGCGAGCATTGAATAGTACATACCAACGTAGTATAGATACTTCTCCCTTTGAACTTTTTGTTGGAACAAAGATGAAAACAACAGGAGACATTGAGATTTATGATTTATTATCACAAGAAGATAGAAGTAGCTATGTGGAAAACCGAGAAGAACTACGTCGTGCCGCCAAGCAGCAAATATTAAAAATACAGGAGGAGAACATGAAAAGTTTTAACAAAAGAAGAAAGAGGAGCTCTACATACCAACCGGGTACTGTTGTAGCCATTAAGAGGACACAGTTCGGGGTAGGAATGAAGTTAAAACCTAAGTTTCTTGGACCTTACCGAGTGGTCAGAATAAAAGGCAACGATAGATATGACGTAGAAAAGATGGATACTTGTACTGAAGGCCCACGGAGTACATCAACATCTGCAGATTTTATGAAGATTTGGCCGGATCCCTACAGTAACCTGGTAAGTTGATGTGGTTGCTTCCTAGTCATCTTAGACTGTACAATTATTTGTATTTTGTTGTGTGTCTTATAATATTTTTTA